GGTACCAATCCTCAAGCACGTCCAGGCCCCGTCTACGAGTATCTCAAAGTTTTGGCGGGAAAATCGCTAACTTGGGAACCACATGAGATAGAAAGCTGAAATTTTGGGATTATGTTCCTCGTCCATACAGAACTCAATGATTTTAAATTCAGGCCCCAAGTGTGCGCGTTTCCCGCGCACGGTCCCCTCAGGATTCCTGGTGCGAAAATCGCTAGCTCGGGAACCAAGAAAGCTGGGAGGCTGAAACTTTGAGGAAATGTTCCCAACTCATTTACAACTTAAATTTATCAAATTCAGCCTCCCGTTATGCATGATTGCCACGTACGGCCCCGTGAAATTTTCTGGCTGGAATTTGGGTAACTCGGGAACTGAGAAAGCTGGGAACCTGGGTTTCGAGGAAATTTTCCCTGTCCAACTATAGCGTGGATAATTAACTTCCCGAAATTCGAGGACCAGTATTTACAAGGGGCTCCTAGCTAGCGGAATTTAGAGTGATCTTATTACAGCACAAAACACTGCAAAAACGCATGATTGCACGGGCGCGCCCAGTGTATGTAGCCAGTGATTGTAACTGCCTTTGGGACGAACCAGAACTGAACCCGGTATGCAATTTTTGCCAGCAAATGCTAGCTGAGTCCTCGCTTGTCCATCCCCTCTAGGATGTGTAACCGTGCTGCAGCGAAAGTGAGCACCTAACAATCACGCGCAGAAATGAGCAAAACACAACTGGTGGCGGGACACGCCACGTAGCGGCAGCGGTGAGCCGAAGCAACGGCCAGTGGACGCCGAGCAAAAGGGGCGCGCAAGAAAACCCCGGGCGAAGAGACTCCTAAAATGCCCCTTCCCCGCCCGGGGCAAAAGCGGAGTGCCCGGGCTCGCTAGCCGTGTAGCGCCATCGCCGTGCAGGGAGCAAAGCGGCCGCTCGAAATGCGCCAGTACCATAAAGACGAGTGAAGTCAGCCGCTGCATGGCTGGGGCGGAAAGCAGCAGCGCGCCATCGGCAACCGACTCACTTAAAAACACCCACTCCCCCACAGTGATAACCTCCCGAGAGCTGATCGAGCACGAGGTGTGGCGCAAAAAACACTGCCCCGAATGGCGACCCCACAACAACAACACCGGCAGCAACAACACCAGCAGCAGCAGCAGAAGCAGTAGCAGCAATCCCTCGCTTGATCTTTGATAGACGGAGAGGAGCGCCAGCGGGCTCATTCACTACCCAGTCTCGAAATCCTCGCTCTTCAGCCCTCGCAATAGGTCTGATAACTCTTGTGAAGCGCGCTTTTCTAGGACGGTGACAAAGGGTGGGAATACATTGCACACCTTAGACAAACCACAATGACGTGGAGTTAGACGCGGGCACTCGAGACTGGGAACTCATAAACATCCATGGTGGCGCAGCGACTAAAAGTCGAACACACAAGAACCCACAGAAACCCCGAGGCAGAGCAGCAGATGAAATTGACAAAGCAGTTTTCGCTGCCAATTTGCTCAAATTCGAACCCCATCGATAATTTCGTTTCCAGTGAAAGCCGCCGCATTAGCCCAGTGAGAATCTGCAGATCCGAGCCAACGGGGTGAATTCTCACATCGTTCTTGGCTGTTTGGTAGTTCGGGATTGCTCTCTCCGATTTTAGCAAAAATTAAATAGCGGTGCGCACCAGGGCAGCGGTGTGCAATCATGCGTTTTGTGCAACTCCGTCCACCGAACGACTGCCTGCTAGCGATTTTCATCGATCTAAATTTATATTTAAGGGATTGCATCTAAATTTATATTTGGGTCGCTCAAAATTTAAGCTTCCGAGATTCGGCGGTTCCCGAGATAATAATCTTCCCGCCAAAAGTTTCACGGGGCAATAAGTGAATACCCGAGAGACTGAGAACGCTGGGTTTGAATTTTTTGGATCGCACATAGACGGGGAACATACCCATAAATTTCAGCTTCCTGGGTTCCGTGATTCCCGAGATAATAATTTTTCCCACCAGAATTTTTACAGGGCTGTATGTGTTACCCGCGGATACGGGAAGGTTTGCGGGGTCACGCGTGGGTAGGGGACATTCCTCTAAATTTTCAGCTTCCTAGAGTAAAAATATAGGTATACGTGCTGGAGAGGTCTAACTGCAAGATGCGCTCTTGCTTTCGTGATGATTCAATATAAGTAATCTGCGTGTGTTTGTAT